CGAAAAAGAGAGACCAGATCGAAGAATCAATTCATGGAGTCGATGCTTTTGAGTGCCCCTGTGATCCACATCCTGATCCATACTCTAATTGGTCCTTATTCAAGAACAAGCTCAAGGACGCCACATATCCATTCAAGAACAAGAACTAAATCACAAATACAACATAATAAGAACAAGGACCGCCAGTACATGCTTCAAGTCAAAAATAAAATAATCTAAATATCATACAACAGAATAAGCGGTGAATCACATCGCATTACCATGACGCCACCGTTGTTGGCCAGAGGCTGAGGATACTGCCACCTCTGCTGCTTATCATGGAAGTACTGTAGCCCGTGCTGGTGTTAAGGTTGCCAAGGACATCGAGAAGGCAAAGGAAGGCAGGTCGGTGAGGTTAGAGGAGGCCTGATCCGGTGGTCCCTGACCTATAAGCGCCCAGATTTGATCGCCTAGCTAGCGATGGGAACGGAAGGGAGAGGAGGAGGCCACCATCTCCCACCAGGGCGATCGCCCCTGATGTCTAGGCGGTTGGGTGGGAGGGGAAGGGAGAGAGGGAGGCCACCATCATCAGCCAGGTTAGTCGCCCCAGGCGTCTAGGCGGGCAGATATGGTGGCCTTGCCACCAGTGAGGGGGAGACAGGTGGAGGCCAACATCCCCGTTGTTGTCACAGTGACAACATTTGCCAGGCTGACCACCATTGTGCCACCTTCGTGGCTTCGTTCTCCCGAGCGGCCTCCGTTGCCTCTCTAAATGGTGACCAGGAGATAGAAGAGATAACAAGGAAGAAGGGAAAGATCAGGAGGACCACGGAGAGTTTGACGGGAGGCAAATGTGGCTGGAATAATCCATTTATTACGAGCCAATAGACTTAAGAATCTGTTCCATTTCGATCGGTTTGGGCTCTAATTATCGGTGCCGGTTTACCTACAAACGCAACATTGATGAGTACCCATTAGTGCCTGTTCTTGGTCGAATTGTGGTTGTTGTTAAGTAGAAAAACCCTAACAGTGTTGTTTTTTTTCCAATCGATGGTGATAAGGCGGTACCAATCAATGTGTTGTACACTCCGCTGCACTGATACTGCAGAAGAATCTTTGTCTTGTCTTTGTATCGAAATGAGAGAAGCAATTAGAACTAGAGAACTTTGATAATTAAGCTTGATTGGATGTGAGGTTTGACATGTACAGGCTAGGTACACAGATGCATGCATGCAGGGGTGGATCCAGCGTGGGTATTAGGTGAACTCGAGTCCTCTCTACCCCACTGGATCAACATTGTAAGAAGGGGAGATGAAAGGTAAAAAATAAAGAGAAAATGAAGAGTAAGTGGGACTGATTAAAGAAGGAAAAAGGAGATAAGTCCGCTTTAAATCTTATTTTGGATCTGCCTCTGCATGCATGTTGAGGTACAGCAACCCAACGCATGCATATGGCAATGGTAGTGTGGGCGTATGGGCTGTGGCATACTCGTATGCAGGTGCATGCATGCAGCCGATAGGCTGGCTAGCTAATACAGTAGTCGCATCATGCATCAGCGAGGAGTAGCAGTGACGACGATGCAAGACGACCGTACCAGCATTTATATATAAAAAATAAGTTTATTTTACATCCGTCCTCCACATACTAATGTAAAAAGAGTAGAATACACACACTTTATTAAATCCCAATATGATTATTTCTATTTTTATCTACTTTCAATATATTAATTTTTTATTTTCATAAACTTCGATATAATAATTGTTTAAAAGTTAATTGAATTTATGGGGAAAATGATCTTATTTTAATATGATGGTAGCATATGCAGATCAGTCGACTGATCGATCAATATATCTAGCTATCAGCGGCTAAATAAGCTAGAGCACGACGACGACGACAAGTCGACAAGAAAAGAGAGTAGATAACGACGACGACAAAGACCGAAAAGGCCATGGCAATGGCATGCATGCGCTTGAGTTGACAGGACGGCGCGGCGAGCGGCCGGCCGGCGCCGGGACCCGCCTCTCGCCGGCCGGCCGGCCCCGCCGACGCCGACTGACTCGCGTCGTGATGTGATGGACGCATGCATGCATGGCTCTAGCTATGAGCTGCTATAGCAGCTGCAAGCTAAAGTTTTGTTCGATGCATACGCAGCAGCTTGCCCTCCCTCACGCCCGAGCCCCTACTACTGTCCTGCACCCTGGGCCTGCATGCCCCTGTCCGTGCAGCGCACGCACGTTCACTCATTCAGTCCCCCCGTGGATCATACTGCTTACTGCATGCCATGTCTTATCATGCATGCATATTCTTTTCGGCATACTCTCATCCCCGCCTCAAAATAAAACTCAACATGCCTGGGCAAGTCTTTAGCCAGATTATAGATCACGTCCTATGTTTAGATTAGATTATTTTGGAACGGAGAAGTAGCGCCCAACCTACCTATATAATTACTCTGTTTCAAAACAAACAAACAAAATTAGTACGAAACATGCATGGCGATATATATTGTATATATACTAAAATTTTAAGTTGAGTTGAGATGGTTTCTTGCTAAATGGAAGCTAAAATTTTGATATTGGCCGGTTATGTGCCTATTAGAATGTGTTACTTCTCCTTCTCGTAACAATTCCAATTGTGATATTCTTATACGTACGCTATATATATTTACAATGAAGCTACTATATTCAACCTTGTATTTTTTCCACCCAAAATAAACAAACATAATATATATGGAATGTGACATTGTTCACTAGGATGTGTCATTCGTTTATTTATTTTGAGATAGAGGGAGTATTATCCTGCTATAATGTTTGGAAGTGCATGGTGGAGTCAGCTCTCCGGCCGGACTGTGCATAAGTCACCACCCGGGCGGGCTCGATGCTATATATTGTGCCCACTCTCCAAAGACGCCGAAAACAAAACGTGAGTAGATATTGTCCCACTCTCCCACTGTTCGGGCTCCATGCATGCCAGGCATTCATCTTGGATCCACCACTTCTATTTACCTGACCATGCACAAGCTTATAATTAATTGTGCTGACAATGTGCTTCAGGTGACGTAATTGACTAATACGAAAAATTCAGACGACTTATAAATAGCGAAATTTAATTAGCTATATGCATGTGTTAAGTTGGCGCAAAAACGAGCTTGCGCGTAACAAGCACGACGACCATACTTAGTTGAAAGAGAGTACAAGCTTAATTAGGAAGATAGTGCAAATTAAGAGACACACAAACATGCCATATATATATGTACAAGTGATGAAATTGAGTTTCAGCCCCTTACATCGGGGCAATTGCTTAGGGTGTTCTCAACTACACATTTTAATTTCTACTCCTTCGTTTTTCTCGCTCACGCTTTCTAAATTGTTAAACAATATGATTTTTTTTCAAAAAAAAGTAAAATTTTTATTTTCAAAAATAATATTTATCCATTTTAAGTTTTTTGGCTTATATTTAATTAATCATGTGTTAATATGTCATTCTATTTTATCAGATGAAAGGTTCCTAAACCCCTAAGGCCTTGTTCGGTTAATTCTTTTGTATGAAATTATTTTCCCTCAAATCCCTTCCAACCTCTTTCAACTGGAGGATTAACCGAACAAGGCCTAAGTGAACAACGCCTAATATTTATACAACCAAGTGTAATTAATTGCAGTGTACAATATAGACCTCTGAGTATAGTAAGAGATTTACTCTATTTATATATGATGTACACTGCCGTGTAGGCTCATGTCAAGGTGGTCTTATACTATTGCACATGCCTTGACTGGGTGTCCATATTTTCGCAGCGTTAGGATGCAACCCACTTGTAAAAAGAGGGAGGTGGGGGGGGGGGCACAACTTGGACATGACGATCGGTAATAGAGGCTCAATGATCTGATAGTGATCGATGGTAGTGGCTTTCACTGTGATAGGCAGACATAATCGATGGTAGTAGGCTCACTTATAAATGGATTTGTGGGTTAGCCACTCTATATCCCTAAACGACTAAACATGGAGTCGTTGTCCCAGTATAGTGGCTCATGTTCTTGGTTATGTGGCATTAGTTAATGATCTTACCGGACGAGCGTGGAAAGTGATAATATGGCTTAGAGAGGTTTGAGCTAAAGGCGCCCCCATCCCTACCGATGAGGCAGGCTGATCAAGGGCATGAAGTAAAAGACGAAGTGTAGCTCCGTCACCCTTCTATAAGGATCCTGGAATGGAGGGTTGGGTCACTAAAGATCTTTCCCTCCATGTTGCTCTAACGGAAGAGACTCAAACCCCTCTGATGTGAATTTGGGGGTTCCGATTCATTTAGGAGTTAGCCTCCATATTCATGTGGTATATCTTAACATCTTTTCTTTTGGGTGGCCTTGCATGTTTTGGTTCTTCTATCAGGAATACACTATGACTCTCTTTAGGGAATTAAGATTTTGTTAAACATTTGGTTGGTAGCCAACTTCCGAGAATTTAGAAAAGTTAAGTCTTTCGATTTCTAGCTTCTAGTTTTATTTTAAGATTTTATAGCTATAAATTCTTAGAATCTGGATGAGAATCTAAACTGTTAGGAAGCGGAGATTTGGAAAAAGCTATGGCTAGAAACTCCTTCAAACAAGACCTAAAGCTCTGTCCATCGAGGTGATGCCGGAGGGAGTTTCCTCTTATCGCAAATCACACCTTTCAATTCCAAATCATGCCTTTGTACGATGGGTAAAGGGCTTAAGAAAAAAGCCAAAAAATTTATTACATAAATAAATATTGATAGAAAATGTATACTCTTCCCATTGTACTATTTCACATATTGTGGTGTGTACTCCTATCTTTAATTCTCCTGTGCAATGCACTACTACCACATTTTCAAGGAGTAATGTGATGGAAAAATTGAAAATTTGAAGAAAAAATTTAGAACTAAACTTGGAATTTAGATAAATACATTTTCAGGTAGCCCCTACCTAGCTATAGTACTACTCATATACTAGCTCGTCCAATGCACTACTACCACCTTGGTTGGCTCTATTAAAGGCCAAGCCCACTAGACGCATTCTGTCACGTCTCTCTAGTGTTACTGCGTAACGTAGGTGGCCGCTGCCGGCCATGTCGTCGTCGTCCGCTGCCGCGCTGGGCTCCGACGACGGCTGCTCGCCGGCGGAGCTGCGGCCGAGCCGGTACGAGTCGCAGAAGCGCCGGGACTGGCAGACCTTCACGCAGTACCTCGCCGCGCACCGCCCGCCGCTCGAGCTCCGCCGCTGCAGCGGCGCCCACGTCCTCGAGTTCCTCCGCTACCTCGACCGCTTCGGCAAGACGCGCGTCCACGAGCCGCCGTGCCCGTCGTACGGCGGCCGCTCGCCGTCCGCCGCCGGCCCGGTCGCCGCCGCCGCCGCCGCATGCCAGTGCCCGCTGCGCCAGGCGTGGGGCAGCCTCGACGCGCTCGTCGGCCGCCTCCGCGCCGCCTACGACGAGCGTCACGGCCGCGCCGGGGAGCCCGACGCCGTCGCGGGCGCCGGCGCGGTCGCCACCGACAGTACCTCCTCCTCCTCCGCCGCCGCCGCCAACCCCTTCGCCGCGCGCGCCGTGAGGCTGTACCTGCGCGACGTCCGCGACGCGCAGGCCATGGCGCGCGGCATCTCCTATCACAAGAAGAAGAAGCGCAGGGGCGGCAACATGAACGGCGCCCGCGGCGGCGGCGGCGGCGGCGCGCGCGCGGGCGTGAACGACGGCGATGCGACGGCGCCGCCGGTGGCGGTGACCCCGGGGCTACCTCTGCCGCCGCTGCCACCGTGCCTCAACGGTGTGCCGTTCGAGTACTGCGACTTCGGGAGCGTCCTCGGGGGAGCACATGGCGCCCATGGCGGCCATGGCGGCGGCGGCGGCGGCTTCTACGGCGCCGGCGTCTACTTGCCATTTCTGTACAACACCTTCAGTTAGTTAGCTAGCTAGCTAGTTCGTCGTGTATTTGTCTGTGCTTCTCACTGTGGTTGCTTCAGTGTACTAGCTAGCTACATGTGTGATGTGTCTGCATCTTGTGATCATCTTGATCTGTGCTTTGATGCTGATCGATCCAGCATATCCGTACGTGTTCGTTCCGTTGCTTCGGATCTTAATTAACTAATTTAATTGTGCTAATTAATTTTGTTAGTTTTGGTGATGGATGTCGATTGCGTTATGTTCGTGCATGATCTGATTAATAACATGCATGTGTTACGGTATTTAAACCAGGCTGAAATCGCTAAATGAGGGTGAACCTCCCAAGAACTAAGGAATATGTTGAGAAATATAAGGTCTATAAGCCTCGGACACAAATAGAAGATCCACGGTTTTGATTTATTTCACAAAATATCATATTGTCCAATTCTTCATCTTATTCTGGGTGTCCGGAGAGAAGCAATATATTTCCCAACTTTTTTTAAAAAAACTTTTTTCTTTGCACTCTTGCGAAAAAAAACTTACTACAAATGAATGAACATTTAGGTTTCTTACTATACAAAATTACTGTGTAATGGCAAAGATGGCATGAATCTCCTTAATTAAGGCTTTTCCCGCTGTCCCGCTCCCGTAGGCCGCAACAACTCTCCGGAAGCGATTTTTTAGTTTTTTTTTCTGAACTTTTTAAATTTTTAATTTTAAAAATAAACCCTTTTAAAACTTATTTCCACTATCTGAACAATTTGGCTAAAACAATACTAGCATTATTTTGTCACACCGGTTTGATTGGCGTGATAACGTTATTTAGTCACACCACCATAGCTGCATGGCTGGATTAAACATCCACACCCGCTATTTGTAACGCGTCAGTATTGTTTTGCTACATGGCAAAAAAAATTTAGATTCTGAAAATAAACTAGTTTTGTAAGGGTCTATTATTAAAATTAAAAAATTTAAAAGTTAAAAAAAATCGTCAGAAGCTTCCGGCAAAAAGAACCTTCTCCTTCGTTTTCGCAAGTAAAATGGGCCTGTTTCTCCATTTACGCCGGCCCAAAAGCCCATTCGTATTCAGAAAACAAAAACATTTGCGGCGCGCGGGCACCGAAATGCTGGTGCAGGTGCTCCGCCGCATCGCGCAGAGCGGCAGCGTCGTCGTCATGACCCATGACCATCCACCAGCCCAGCGGCCGCATCCTCAACATCCTCGACCGCCTCCTCTTCCTCTCCCGCGGCCGCACCGTACGTCTACTCCGGCACGCCGTCGGGGCTCAAGACCTTCTTCTCCGTCTTCGCCGCGCCCGTCCCGGACAACGAGAACCCAGCCGAGAGTTCGCCCTCGACACCATCGGTGAGCTCGAGCACCACAGCACGACGGCGCCGCCATGCTCGTCGAATTCAACTCCAAGTGGCAATCATCGCTCGGCGCTTTCCTCATCGATGCCGACGTACGCGAACCCGCCGTACGTGGAGGTGTGGGTGCTGATCAAGAGGGCGTTCACCAACACGAGGCGAATGCCGGAGCTGTTGGTGATGCGGCTCCGCACGATCACGGTGACGGGGTTCATCCTGGCAACCATCTTCTGGCGCCTCGATCGACGACACGCCCAAGGGAGTCCAGGAGCGGCTGGGCTTCTTAATTCGCCATGGCGATGTCGACGACGTTCTACGTCTGCGCCGACGCGCTGCCGGTGTTCGTCCAGGAGCGCCACATCCACATCCGGGATCGAGACAGCCCACAACGCCTACCGCCGCCTCTCCTACGTGATCGCCAACACCGCCGTCGCGTTCCCGCCGCTGGTGTCCCTGTCGCTGGCGTTCGCGGCGACCACGTTCTTCGCCGTCGGTCTCTCCGGTGGCGGTGCTGCTTCTCCCGTGGCGTCGAGATGTTCGACGGCACGCCGATCGTCGGGTTGTCGAAGGCCGTGAAGATGTCGGTGATGGACGCCAATCAGGCGTACGCTCGGCACCACTTTGACGGCGGACACCTGCGTGGTGACCGCGCCGACGTGCTGGCGCAGCAGGCTGGGATGGATATCGGCAGGTGGAAGTGCCTGCTGGTCACCGTGGCGTTTGGTTTCTTTTTCCGTTTTCTGTTTTATATTGTCCTGCTCTTTGGGAGCAAAAACAAGAGGCGCTAGCTAAACCTTCGGGTGTGTGTATGTATGTAATATTTCAATTTTGAAGATTTTGTATTCATATAGCTGAAAACCGTGTTCAATTATAATTATCTGATTAGATTTGATGACAAAAAACTCAAGGAAAGGTTTAAATTCAGACGTATGTAGTGAACACGATTTTTTATGTCCTACAACAAATTTTACAACGGTATTAATACATTGTTCTATCATTTTGTCCACCTATTGTTCACCAGTATATAAAGACGAAAAAAGATGTTTATACTGTAGCAAATCCCATAGCACCGGACCAATAAATCTCGCAACTGATATGCCGTTTTCATAATTATTAGTGGAGTCAGGGGCGGATCTATCCATTAGAAAGGGTGAGTCGATCGATCCAATTATACGACATGTGTTGCCCTACACCTCTAAAACCCCCCTATCCTCTTATAATAGTCATGAAAAATTATGTATAACAAGGTCTGAACGTCTAACAGATCAAGTCTATTTTTTCACAATGCACGCAAGCCACAGACAATAATTGAGACAATTATGCGATTGAACTATAAATACGATATGTGTTGTGTTCTATTGCTCTTATCAAGTAAACATCTCCGTTCTCCACCCCACGTATATTTTAAAGCTGCGTCCGTCAGTCCTAGAGGGCTAGACCGCTAGACCGCAGCAGTGTGCAGGAGACGTTCACGGTGCATCCGACCCGGTGGCCGTAGTTCGATCGATCGGTTGCGGTGCGCCGCCGCACACACGACACGAGCGGCCGGGCAAGCGTGCGTACGTGGCCTGTGTCGTGGGCCCCACGAAATCCCACTTCAGCCAGGAATTTGAATATCTTTGCTCTCATCTGCGTTGGGCCCACCAAATCCCACTTGCTGGGAGGCTGGGACCACTAGTGTAGTTGGTTGGGACCACTGCCAGATCGTGTGCCAGATGGATTCCGTGGGACCCACTATGCATTCAAAGGTGCTTGGAGAACCCTACGATGACGTGGCAGGTCATTCCGACTATATAAACCCCCCGTGAGAGTTCAAGCAGCCCCCGTTTCTTCCACCTCTCCTCTCCTTCTCCCCACCTCGCTTCGCCCTCCTCTTGCTCTTTGCATCCACACGCCGACACGCGCGCGAGGAGATTTTTCATCTCGCCGATCGGATCGAGTCGAGTAGCTAGCGGAGAGAGGTGAGCGTATTTTGATCGATCGCGCTGTGTGTGTTCTGGTTTTGATTTTGGTCGATCAAAATGGTGGTGGTGCTTCGTTTTCGTGAATCGTGATCGATTTTTGAATGTGATCCATGGCGTGTTTTCTGTGCTGATTTTGCGTTTGATGCGTGTGGTTTTGGTGCTCGATCTGTGTGTGTTTGAGCAGCATGGCGGACTCGGAGGATGGAGATCACGTTGCGACGACGACGACGGAGCAGCGCTACGACGACGACGGGCACCTCGTCCCCAGCAGCGGCGGCCAGGAGGAGGAGGGATCCGGCGGCCGCGACGTCGTCGTCCCCGGCGGCCACGTCGCTGAGGATTACCGCTCTGGCGTTGGCGTCCCCGTCGGCCGAGACGCAGGCGGCGCCACCTCCTCCCCGCCGCAGCCAGTCCACGTCACCCCGAGCATCCTCGTCGGCAGCATCCACGCGCCGGTCTTCCAGGGCGAGCTCGTCGGCATGAAGTTCGGGGTCGGGTCAGGCTCCATGGGTGCCGGCACCAGCGCGACCAGGCGCCTCCCCGCGACCGGTTTTGGTGCTCTGCCGACCAGCAGCATGGCGGAGGATAGTGCCGACCACGCCGACGACGACCACCTCGCCGAGGAGGAGGAGGAGGAGGAGGAGGAGCACTACATCGACGACGGGCCCCTCGTCCCCAGCAGCGGCGGCCAGGAGGAGGAGGGATCCGGCGGCCGCCACGTCTTCGTCCCCGGCGGCCACGATGGTGAGGAGGACCACCCCGACGACCTCGTCGCCGACCTCGACCTCGACCTACTCGTCGACGGCGTAGTCGGCCCTGTCCCCGGTGGCCACCTCAACGCAGATGCCCCCGCCTTCGTCCCCACCACCCGTGGGCGCCAGGACCTCTATTCCGCCCTCTCCTCATCCGCCCCCGCCGCCGGTTACCGGTACCGCCACTACATCACCTCGTCCGCGCTCGCAGAAGCCGGCCACGTGTCCCCATTCCTCGGTCTCCCGTACGCCACGGCCTTCGATTCTCCGCTCGACCGCGAGTTGGTCGGCCCGTCGTCAGCGCCGCCGCCGTGCTCCGCCGCTAGCCGTGCCTGGTTAGTGCGCTGTTCCTCACCGCTCTCCGACTCCGAGTGGACTCGGCGTTCGATCCTGGCGCGAGAGGCTGCACACACACCGGCCTCCACCGTCACTGGGCGTGGGCGGTTCGAGTTCGTGCCCATTCCCGGCGCACCCTATGCTCCGCCGCCGTCATTCGCCCCCATCGCCGCCGGAGCTGGACCAGCAGCGCGACCGCTACAGCAGCTGGCATTCGGACTGGAGGAACACAAGACGAAGCTGTGCGCGGAATATTATTCCCGTGGGCTTGGTTGTCCTCGTGGCAACACATGCAAGTACGCCCATGGAGAAGATGACCTGCGTTTGGTGGTGGCGGTGAGCTCTCTAGCCGACGCCGGTGAGGGCTCCTCGTCCTCGGTGAGTTTAATTGATTTCGTCTTCAATATATATATAACTGATTGATTCGATCTACCACGCAATACCTAGTCATCTTGTCCTCATGCATCCAGATTTAATTTACTATACAGAGTCGATGCAGATTTCATTTTTGGTTTTGAACTTTTGATCATATATGCATTCGTTTGCCTTTGCAGGATTCGTCCTTCGCCGCTTTGGGAGGGGAAGACAAGTACAAGACGAAGCTATGCAAGACGTTCACGAGTGGTGGATTATGCCTGTTTGCAGCCAACTGCAGGTTCGCGCATGGGGAGGTGGAGCTTGGGAAGAAGGAGCCGTGCTGGTATTTCTTCTCCGGTCAGACCTGCCCCCGCGGTGACACCTGTGGTTTCCGGCATTCCTACTAGGCCATTGTCTTCGCATCGATCAGTTACATTTATCCCACCAATAGCAAAGCGCAAGGAATGGGAGCAGTAGATTGATCGATTACCTTTGCGTGCACGAGATACATAGATAGTTCTGATGCTTGTTTGTTCCATCTCGTTCAGTGTATATCCGATCCCTGTGTCGAACAACACATTTACAAACTGCATTTCTACCTATCCTAGCTACAGCATTGCTCGGGTAACACCATGAGGTTTTCGTCTACTTAGTACTTGTTAAATGTCTTCTTTCTTCAATGTAAGAAAGCTTTGTACATGCATGACTTCATTGAGATACTCCCTCCGTATTTTAATGTATGACGCCGTTGACTTTTCGACCAACGTTTGATTATTCGTTTTATTTAAAATTTGTGTGTAAATATGAAAATGTTTATATCATGCTTAAAGAACATTTGATGACGAATCAAGTCATAATAAAATAAATGATAATTACATAAATTTTTGAATAAGACGAATGGTCAAACGTTGGACAAAAAGTTAACGGCGTCATACATTAAAATATGGAGATAGTATGTTGCATGCCTGCCTAATCACTGCATGGAGGTTTTGTCTACCTAATTATCCACTGTCTGCGCACCTGACATGTTAATTTCTGCTTCTGGATATGCCTAGTACTTTTCCCCCCAAACTTACTCTGTTTTGGATCACAACTCAGGGGATGGGTCAAGCATTGTACTATTTTTGTTCTGGAATGGGAAGTTAAAAGTTTGGTGCTTAAATTAAAGCCCTAGCTTGCTGTCATCCTAGAGTTGTCCACGCCGGGTGAATGCTAATTAAAGGTGAAAAGGGTTTCCCGTTGACCCAGACGATTTCCGAAAACAGAGTGTATACTGTATAGTATTGGATTCGGAAAGTATGTTCCTATGAATTCTTGTCTTAGTGTCGGTTCCTTCCTTCAGTAGTAGTGAGGTGCGGTACTAAATCTGGTACCGTGCCTGGAATGTCACGTGGAAGGGTGACACCATAATTTTGTATTGGCATATCAGTTGAATGTGCTTTGAGTGGGTGCATCCTGGGAGTGGACATAACCATTTGAGTGACATGCAAATAACGAGGGGACATTCCTTCGAGGGATTAAAATAGTTTCCCGGTGTATCCTTCCAAATTTCGAACCCTAGGTCCCCCGTGACTGCGTGACACCGAGGTCGTACACCGCCGTGATCCTCGCCCGCTGTTATCCTCCGTGCCAGGGTTACGGATAAGGCATACTCTCTATCCTACGACTTATGGAATATACTGATAAGATATACCTTCACGTATACGGTTCGTTTCCGTGTATGCCATTAGGAATTCGCCTCAAGTCAAGTTATATCTCTACAAAGTTAAAGGAATTGCAGAAGTCCTACTCGGAAAGGGTAAAATCTCTAATATATCGTGTTGGTTTACATATCTCCAAGTCTTACTTAAGGGTCAAGGTATCCCACATGTCACGCCCCGAACTAGTCCCGACCGGAACTAGCCCGTGACGCTCCAAATTAACCTGTTAATCGATACCAGTCCCAGAAAACAGTGCTGGTATCACAGGAAGACAGAATATCACAGCAACAGAGGTCTCTTTATTATAGAGTAGGAGTACAGTCATGTTGGGCTGCGGACAGATCCCGAGCTCACAACTGCATTACAAAAGGGAAGTGGAAGCCAAGACTTGGACCAAACATCACAGGCGCGACTTGGGAACTAGGCCGAAACCCTAAAACTCATCGTAGCCGGCTTGCTCCTGGAAGAACTCCTCGTCAGCGGGATCCGCTTCATCTTCTTCAGCAACTGGGGGGGGTTATTTATATAGAGCAAGGGTGAGTACAGGAGTACTCAGCAAGCCATGGGAAATAAGTGTTTAATGTAGGCTTCAAAGAAAGGCTGTTGTTTTTGCGATTGATTTTATTTAAACTCTTTTCTGAAACAACTAAGGGAGTGCTTCTCAAACGACACGGATGAGACAGTGCGTCTCGTCCGGTCGGAGTATGTGCAATGTTTCAGTCTTTTGAATTGATCAAGATTGGCACCCGGCCAACAGCTTTCAAACAGCCAGCCGGGCCTGGCTGATCCCATCAGCCGCAGATTTTCCAAACATCAAACCCATTCCACAACAGCAAATTTCACAAGGCAGTAGTCAAACAAAACTACGCTAGGAATTACCTCACATCCGCCCATGACCGTGGGCACGGCTGTTCGAACAGTTTTAATAACCTCTGCAGAGGGGGTACACTTTACCCACACGACATTACTAACCCGGATCATCCAGCCCGTGCAGAACGGCCACGACTAGAGACCTTAAGGCTTTTATGACAAGGCATTTCGAAAGCCGACACAGGTTCACCATATGCCAACGAGAGGGGTCCCAGTCCAACACCAGATTAGGTCCCAGACCATACTATGCCCCCGACACCACCCCGGCGAATCCACATGTCTCTTAGCATCATGGCTCCCCCGATAAGCTAGTTACTCAGCCAGGGGTGTCCCATTCCACCCATGTGGTCGTACTTGTCTTATGTTCGGATGAAATTCCAAGGAAACGGTCCTTAAGTGCAAGAGCGGGAAACCGTACACCCGGTACGTTCCCCGGTCCGCGGTTTTGGAAATTCATTTAGTTCGCAAGCACCGACCCAGGTGTCGGGTTTTCCAAGTCTTTTGTAAAACCCAAGTTTTACCCAAGATGTTTCTCAGATTTTAAGTTTGAAGGCGACCGTCGATACCCGTGCAGAGTGCACGATTACCGAGGCGCAACTAGGTGGGTACAAGGGAACATGGTATAACAATTACAATGGAAGGGTCAAATGCAACAAATTAGGTAGGTCCGCCAATCTGCCTTGCAGACGGGACAAGCAGATTAAGTGCGATCCTATCAATGCATAATATTTTTCAAGCAACATAATTAAGTTCAAATATAGGCTCAAGATGTTCAAAGGTGGCTTGCCTCGCTCGAGATCTTGAGCTTGATCCTCGAAATCCTCGCACTGCGGGTCTTCGGGCTCCGAAACTACACGCGAAACGGGACAACTCAGCAAACGGTGAAAAAAACGGGGAAGATTGGGTGGGGAAAAGGAAGGGAGGGCGCCTGGGTTTATAGGGCGGCGATGTCGGTTTGGAAACCGACCTTGGGCGGTCAAGGGAGGGAGCTCGCGCTCGGCGGTCGCGGCCAAAGCGGCGACAGGGGAGGGGAAGGATGACGCCGGCGGGAGGGAAAAGGGAAAAAGGGGGAGAGAAAGGGGGCTTGCCCCTTGCCACTTTGGGAAAAGGAGGACGAAGAGAGGGTGACGCGGGAGAGGGAGGAGGAGCTCAGCCTCCATCCCTTGGAGGGACGCGCGGGGAGAGGCGGGGCCGTGTCGATGACAACGGCGATGACGGCGGACCGGTTTGGAGTGGAGCGGCAACACGGGCGGTAGACGCGGGGCAGGCGCGGCAGGCGCTGACGGCGGCGGCGACTGGCCGGTCAGCCACCACGGCACGCGCGCGCGCGGGCGGCGCGGCGATTTGGGCGGCATCGGCGGGAAAGGCAGCGAGAGCGGGAGGGAGGGCTCGGCGCGGCTCACGACAGAGCGGGGAGAGAGAGAGAGAGAAAGAGAGAGAGAGAGAGCAGGGGAGGGAAGGGGAGATGGGCCGAGAGGGATTCGGCCCATCGAACTCGATGGAGGCTAAATAGACTTTTGCGGAGGGATTTGATTTGGGAAGGATTTGGATTCGGGATTGAACTTGGCAATAGATCGGGGATTTGAGATCTGAGATGGCACGGACACTAGACAACAAGCAAAGAAACGGATTTCGCAAATAGGGTTTTTAAGAGATAGTTTTTCCGCTAGGCGCCACGACGGAACGGGCGCTACACCACGATATAAAAGGGACCTCTAGGGAGAGGTAAAGGGCATCGCATCTCATCGCCAACACACCCACCAAAGTTTACGAAGCCGGAGTCCACGGAGCCAACTCGTCGGGAGATCTCGTCGAACCCCTCGACTATGATCTCATCGGCATTGTCTGTTCGGTTACTCTCTTTGTAATCTGTTCTCATCATCATTAATCCCATATAAACTAGACTAGGGCTATTACCTGATAAGGGGCCTGAACCAGTATAATCCTTGTCTTTTGTTTGTTTTGATATCGTACTACGTAGATCCCTGTTCCAACATACTCTAATACCCTATTCTTCCGGTCCGCGAGTATCACTCGTCGACACTCCACTACGCTACAGTCGCACAAGCTCTCCTTGGGTATGCTATCCTCGCTGCCACTCATCCTCTTCTATCACCACGACTTTCATCCGCTGTCATGGCCACTTCATAGTTCGGAGGATGGAAAAGATGGATTCCTAGAGGTGGGATGAATCGTGCAAAGAGGTTTGAGTACGTGAAGGCGAATACGATGTTGGCTTCAATGAGGTCAGAGGCAAACTGACGTCGATGCTGGCCACACGACAACGAGGTCCTGTGTCGCCTGGGACATCGGCGTCGGTGAACCCCTACTAGGTGGGGATGATTTCGGTGGGGAAGAGAGGAGCCGCACACGCGACATATGCATGTTGTGTGAAGCCCAGTGCTGGTGAACCCCTACTAGGTGGGGATGATTTTGGTGGGAGAGAGAGGAGCCACACACGCGACAGATGCGTGTTGTGTGAAGCCCCAACGTGAGACACCGGCGTCGGTGAACGCCTACTAGGTGGGGATGCTTTCGGTGGGAGAGAGAGGAGCCACACACGGGGATGATTTCGGTGGGAGAGAGAGGAGCCGCACACGCGATAGATGCGTGTTGTGCAAAGCCCAGCGCCAGTGAACCCCTACTAGGTGGGGATGATTTCGGTGGGAGAGAAAGGAGCCGCGCACGTGACAAATGCGTGTTGTGCGAAGCCCCAACGTGAGAGATGATGGTTGTGGGGGCAAGACAAGTTCGGCGCTGCGCAGTGCTTATACGACACGTGGAGGAAATTCAGCCAGCGACAAGTTGCAACAAAGAGCCAAGCCTCATCCTGCCCATGATGACCCAACGGCCCGATTCAATTTGGTACCGCAAGCACTAATACAGACAAGGTTTTTGCATACGGCTAGAATGATTTATCTCATGCGGGTTGGCAATT